ATTTGTTTTGGAGACCATCGCTATTTGTTTTGGAGACCATCGCTATTAGGTTTGGAGCTATTAATAAACTCAGTGCTTTTTTGCAGGTCTTCACACCGGTACCCGATCCTATCCGGTCGCCCTCAGACCCGCTGAGTGTCATTCTTTGCACGCCATGCACACGCGAAATGAACCGCGCGCCAACGTTGCCTGTGCTGAATTCGCGAAGGTGAAGTACCGTCGCAATATGGACGACTGTAGCTCCACGTCGCAGTTCGACCCACTGGTTCAGCAGCCCGGCAGATCAGGTGATGAGTCGCTCCCTAGACCTCTTGGACAATAGATGTCCTGCGGGGTAGAGGGTACTCCTTCATGTCAGAGGCCCTCCCGCATGTTTGTACATCTTGCTCTTGATGTCTTCCTAGACTCCGGTCGGCTCCACACCGAGACACGACACGGAACGAGGCCCTCCCGCGTTAAAACCGGTGGCGTCCTAGGTCCGGCCGGTGTCCGTCATCTGAACGAGTCAGGAAATGCTGGCAGATGATGTTCAAGGATGAGAAAGACGCTAAAGAAAATTGACGCTTGGATGAAGAGCTCCCAGACCGAGGCTGACGGCGACTGTAGGATCCAAAAAGGATGGTTATATGTCACAATTGTATACAATTGTGGTCACCAATAAGTAATTTCCATTGAAAGAGTGTGTTCAATGCTTTGACAACGTATCTTCCTGTTTGTGCCATGGACCAAAGAGTGTGAAGAAGGATTCTCAGCTCCGGGCCCAGGTCTTCTCCCTGGAACTAAGATGGTTACATGGATGGAAAAGGCCCCCCCGATTTCGGAAGACCATGGAATCCGAAGACCATGTCAGTTCCAGGGAGGGTAATGTCGGGAGTAGCTCAGAGCAGGCTAATTGCTTGCTGGGGCTTGCTTGCTGGTTGCACTTCGGCTCTCCTTTTCGCACTTCTTCCTTTCGCCAGGCTTAGAGGAAGGCTTCCACTGCAGCTGGGACACCTCGACAAACCGTTTAACTTTGCTCAATGAGCAGCCCTTTGTGCCTCTGGATGCGAAGACAACAAGTTCCTTTTGCTTGTATTGGATCTCTCAGTCTCAGTCTCAAAGGGATGTTAGCTTTGATGTTCTTTCTGATTGATCCCAGTCATGTTGAAAAGCTGAACTTGTTTTGTTTCAGTCCCAACTTGCTAAGTGAGGTGCGGCCACATCCCATCACTGGTCAACCAATTTGGTATAATCACATCAACGTGCTACATGGGCAGATGATGCCAGGAGATTACGCACCTTGGCCTGGTTTTTGTGGTGATGGTTTTGAGCACGTCAAAGGCGAAAGCAACACATGCAGCCCGCGGCCACACAAAGAACTACAATCCCTCAATTTCAAACGAACATAGCAACTACCTGACCAGGTGAAAAGGAAAAACAGTCAGTCTTCCAGAATCTTCCAAACCTAACACAGCGTGTTGCTATGTTCTCTATAGAGGATCCTTTGACTCTTGAGGGTGCAGCAACCGATTCTTTTCATGCCCTGCACAGGCACGAACCGCACGGCTTTGGGATGGGCCTTGGTCACTGTGGCCTACGGCGCTGTCGCTCTACTATCGAATCTTGAGCCAGAAAACGTTTTTCGTGGCGGGTTACAACATCTAAGACAACGGGTGTATAACCTGAAAGATCTTGAAGCCAAGGCACAGCCAGAAAGGAGTGAATGGAAAATGCCCATCATGAACAGCACAGATCTTCTGACAAATGTTTCAGCATGTTCCATGTCCGAATATTTTTGCTTTGAACATGCAACTCAACCGTTCACTGTAGACAGAATAGTAGAAAGACGCGGTGGCTCAATCAAACTGGTCTGTGCTTTGTTTTCCTGAACTGTCCATATAATAAATATATATATATGATATGTGAACTGCAGGAAAACAATACAAGTACACTCCGACTCACTAACATGGAAGTGGAAGCCACCCGTTTGTAGAGGAAACGAGTCTTCTCACCGGCGTTTTTTCCACTCCCTGTTAGTGAGTCAGAGGGTAACTGTGAGGGTTTCAGGTCAACCAGCTCGATCTGATCGGTGTTTCTGAGACCTGTGAATTTCGAGCCCGAGAGAACTCGAACCACAAAAGGCCCAAATGCAGGAACAAAGTAGATTTGTTATCCCCGTTTGTATTCAGCTTAAGCTTTTTTCCCCACGAATTAGGAACATACAATAGATAAAAGCAGAGGCATCGAAGTCATAGTCCTGGGAAGAATTGTAGGGATGAAACATGCAGCATGTCACCACAAGCACACTAGTGACTGTGATGCTCTCCAAGAACCCTCTTCAGGTTCTTTAACGGTGAGCACGAACCACCACCCGATGAATCTTCTTCACGCCCACGCTGCTCCCGCCGCCCCGATGGCCCACCCCACCGCGCCGGTGGGTCTCCGGGTGTTGAGGACTTCTCTTCAACATCTATGGACTCTTCGTGCCTGAGGTCCGGGCGTCCGGTTGGGTGTGACAGCAGGGATGACATCCCTGCCAAAAACCGCACGGTTGGATGTGGATGTGTTAATAAACTACACCGTTGTATGTTATATATGCACATTGAATCCAGAATGCGTGGTGCTTGCACCCCTATTCTGGTGGCTGCGCTGGCTCCCAATATCTCCCAATCCAATGTGTGCATGTTCAACCCGGTCACCATTTTTAGCATTTTTAGCAACCCAAACATTTCTTGACACCCAATCTTAAATAAAACCGCACAAACGACTATTGAAAAAAGAAACACGCTAATTGCAGGAACTCCGTTCACTGCGTTCTCACACATCCGACAACACGACCGTTGGTCGCTTTTCCGCATGTCCGCCGGACCCGTGCTTCGACGTCGAAGCGGCTATGCCCAGCATGAAAGCGTGAAAGAACCACTAAAGAAAGCGAGACAACGAAACGGCACGGCACCGCACGGGGGGTCTCGCCCCGGACCGAGGCCGAGATGGGCTCCACGGCCACGAAGGGCTCTGGCGAGGCCTTCACCACGGAGGAGCTCCAGGCAGCGGGGTCACCGGCAGGGGTGGGGTCCAGCAGAAAGTGAAGGAACGTGGCCATGTGTTATTGAAAGGGTGTTTTTTTCCCCACATCTCTGTGTGGGGTTCTAGTTTTGTTGTCTGCCATCCCGCCCGCATCCGTCCTTCCTTCCTTCCCTCCGTCCTCCTCGCCCCCTCCTCCACTCACTCGCTCACTCACTCACTCACTCACTCCCTCGCTCACTCCCTCACTCACTCACTCACTCACTGCTCACTCACACTCCCAGCAGTCTTGAGAGACTCAGTCACTCACTCACTCAGTCACTCACTCACTCGCTCACTCACTCACTCACTCACTCACTGCACACTCACACTCCCAGCAGTCTCCAGAGACTCAGTCACTCACTCACTCACTCAGTCACTCACTCACTCCCTCACTCACTCACTCACTCAC